TTCTCCCTGGAGTGGCCTTCTGCTCTGAACACTCAGGCAAGGCTTGTGCAGCTTTCTGGCTGAAGCTTTGAAAAGCGGTGTGCTCCCAGGAGCCTGGGAGCAGCTGCTTCTACAGTGTCCTGGGTTGTGAGCATCCCTCCTTCATCCACCCTACAGGCAGTCCAAAGAGCCTTCAGGGACTTCCCTGCTTGCTTTCTCGCCATCACACATAAAGACAACTTGCAGTCTCTCTCCCACATTGATTCTTACTTCAAGACAACTTAATTCTCATATTTTAGCTATCTAGTAGAAAGCCTTCCCAGCTGACATCTTATACATGGTGTTATTTTGCAATTAAAAACCATACACATACACTGTTTAATAAAACTTTTGTTATCAAGTTTTATTATTTCAACAAGTGTTGCTGTCAGCTAATAAACCCTAGAGTGGCCATTGTGGAGTATTCCAATAATTGGATTTTAATTAAGAAATTCACTTAGTCCTACACTATTTTTGAAATCTAATTATGTCTTCAGGAAACTCACCCAAGTTGTGGTATTTTCTGGACAATGTACAGACTCCTTCCATTACTTTAAGTTCTTTTTTAATTTTTTTTCTTTTCCTATGAGTATTATTAAAACTCTTCAATTTCCTATATTGCCACTGCAGAAAATTGTCAAGACCTAATGGATTAAATAAATGCAGAATGCAAATACAAATTTCTATAATACACATTATGTTAGAAAATATGGTCCTTGTGCAAAGATGGTTAGAAAGCTTTTTTACTTATTATATTCATGGTCTTGAGATTTTTTACCCCCTTTGGATTTGAAGGCAATATTAATGAGAAAATCCTGCAGATAAACTTGGCTGTAGATTTTATTCATGTAGACAATAATTTATGTCTCACCTCATCTCAAGTATTTTGGGAAAAATCCCGAGTATATATGTGCATGCTGAGTGTCACCTGGATTAAGTAGTGAAGCATGTAGGCTTGCTCGTATTTGTATCACAGAAGCACTGAGTGATCCAGACACTGCTGTCTGTACATTACTTTTTAGTCCTCTTTGATGCTGAATGTCACATCTCACTCCAGCATTGTGTGAGTCTTCATGACACAGCAACAGGAGAAATAATCAAGAACACCATGAATTCAAGGCATTTCTCTTGAAGTGGTTGGAGTATTCCTGTATTTTTCCATATGGAATACAGAGTAACACCACTTCATGGTATGTCTTTGACTGTAAGTAGGCAGAAATCAATGTAATAAAAATAAAAGTCTCTCGGAAATATTTTTATATTTAGAAATATGAATGGTACATACAGTCATATTCTGACCTTGAAAGAACTGAAATAAAATGTGACACGGGTCTCTGTTTGTAGTATTTATACTAACCATAAAAATACTCTGTTCAAACATGAAGATTTCCTTGAAACAAAAGAAATCTATTTAAAATGTGAAGAGGGGAAGGAATAAGAAGAGAAGGTCTGATGAATTAATGGTTGGCAATATGAAGAACATTTCAGTAAGATTATTTACATGAGTGATATGAGGCATCTGGCCTGTACACTGTATAGTATAAATATAGAAAAGCTGTGGAGGCCATAATCTGCCATTGTAGTGCATACGTAACTCCAGTTGAATTCAATAGTACTTCAACATGCATATAGATGAGATGATATTTGCTTATAGCACAGACTGATTTTTTATTTCAAGACAGACATTGTTAACATTTTAATATATCCTTTACAGAGATGGGGAAAAACTTCCACTGACTTTAACAAAGACAAAATTTCAAACCAAGGCATTGGCTGTAACCCTGAAACACCAAGAAAAATATCTGGTTAAGAGTAGACTGAAAAATGGTGTTTAAGCTGCATCGTTTTTTCATCTTCTTAGACTTGCTTCAGCCCTTAGTACTCTGGACTGCCTTTGCCATCTTTGCTTTATTTTATTTTTTTACGAGCAGTATTTCCAAAATAAGAAACATGGCCTATATGAATAGTATTGCATGGAATTCACTTCTGTTTAGTATTTTTGTTTCATACATAACTGTCCATGTTTAGGCGAGTTAGCTACATTGTGTTGTAAGTCTAGCACAGTCATTTGATATTTGTCATTACAGCATTGTATTTTCTTCTTGTGCCTCGAGCAATTAGACCATGTGCCCATCTTCCATTGGAACCTGTGGCAATTATTAATCACTTGCCATTGTCTCTGTTTTTTCTGCTTGTGACCCTTTCAGTTCTGCAAGCCAGGAAACTATCTTTGCAGTAACAGGGAAGAAGTCTAAAGGTTAGAATGTATTTCAAAGCTTTAAAAATAGTCCAATTGCATTTTAAAGTCTAATTGGTCTTTTTAAAAGCCCATTAGTAAATTGTGATTCTTTAAAACCCCACAAGCTGACAGTACCTTGCTGGGGACCTTATTGCTAAGATTACAAGCAGCATCCAAATGGTTGAAATTAAAATTCACTTTAAAAATCTAATATTCCACTTAAGCTGCTGTACCAACATTATAGAACCAGATAAAAGTCAAAAGACTGTGTCCAGAAATCCTAAATGTCAGATTTTCATAAGCATTGCATTCTCTTTGAAAAAGTATCACATGCTCACAGCTGGAATACTTTAGAGCCTGTTCTTTTGTGTTTGTTTGTTTGTTTGTTTTGTTTTGTTGTTGTTTGGTTTTTTTTTGTTTTGTTGGTGTTTTGTCTTTTTTTTTTTAATGAAAAAGATCAATCCAGATTCCCATATGCTCCTTGCTCCTTTCTTCTGGAGTGACAGTGGAGGGAAGGAGCACTCCAAACAGCAATTCTGAAGGAAAACTCAGTTTCACTGTAATTAAAGAGTTTGTCCCGGTGGCCTTTGTCTGAGGAGGTCAGCTGAAAAGCAAAGAAACCCTCAGTGAAGCCAGTGGGACCTTGGATCAGTCACAACCTGACAAAAAACAGGTTCGTCTGTACCTGAGAACTTTGTGTCAGGAGCCTGCTGACAACTCAAATACATACCAAGAAGATCGTGCTGTTCGTAGAATATCTTGCTGAATTCACAGGGGTAGGAAATTTTAGTGGGCTGAAGCAAAAAGGAGCCATGCTTGTGATTCCAAAAGATCCAGGAGTTCCTCTGCAATGGTCCCCTAAATGAGATACAATGATCTGAATGAGAAAGACTGCGAGGACCTTCTATCTGACCAGCTGAAGGAGTAATTCTTCTCCAAGGACTACTTCCTTGTCACGTCCAATATAAAGACATTAATGGTCAGACCTTGGAGAAGCTGAAACAACTCACACAGACTGCAGAGTTGAATTATTCCTTCCTGAAAAGGTGGTGTCTTCATCAGGCATATGACCCACTGAAATCTAGCAGACTTTGTGTTGCTTTCCCTGCTCCATATTAACCTGGCAATCTCGTATCTAAGGTAAGAGTAACCATGCTGGCTCTAACTATATAACAGCAGCTTATTGCAAAGATTAGCAGTATGCTCCATGCAGTTTATGGCAAGTTTGTTCTATGCAAAAAGAACAACATCTATCCATCCATGTATGTATGTATGTATGTATGTAACTGTCTATAGATTAATTACTAAGTGTGGACAAAGCCCCTCATGGGGAATTAACAGTGGAATAGATAGGAAGGAGAGAGGTGAAAGGGGAAAGTTAGCTGTGATTTTTTGTTACCCATTTGAAACGCAGTCCCTAGGCAGCTTTAGCCTGAGCTGTAATGCAGAGGCTGTCTGGAGGGGCAGGATGACAATATGATTCCTTGCAGGCTGCACACTTCTGTTCAAAGCTGTGACGTGAGCATCCCACATGCCTAGCAGAGTCATGGTGCTGGAGACATATGGAGGTGTCCATCTTCCAGGTGTTTGGACCAGAAATTACTGTGTGTGGGGCTCTGGTGCAGCCCTTTCAAAGAGTACTCATTACCTTCCCCCTCCTTTCCACGCTCCTCTTTTATTACAGTGTTCTAAACTCAGACCCCCAAATTAAAACAGTATTTTACAGCTTGGTTCTGAAGCCTCAGATTGCAGATATTAATTACCAGGACGTGTTCTAAGGGAAACAAGGATTTGGCAGGACAACTGAAGTCCTCTTTTTCTCTCTCATTTCCCGCTCTGTACAGCATGCTGGCTTGCTTCTTGGTTCCCCTTTGGGAGGCCATAAATCTGAGTTTTGCTATCGAGGCTGGGCACCTGGTGAGGCTGCCCTGTGCTCTTGGTATCCTCCCCTTCACCCTGTCCCGATGTCACACTGGTAATGATACGGTTTGGAGGGCAGGAAAAACCCCATCGGACTCCTAGAAGGAGGAAAACAAGGTCGACGAGACCTTTCCCTTTGCGTGACAGCTGGCGGGATTAACCACAGCACCGGGCAGGGATGAGTTTGCTCGCTTCACTCCGAGGGGCTGTCCAGCTACAGGTTCCTGCTTGCGGGGGGGAAGCAACCCTTTAATCTCAGAGTTTGGCTCCCGCAGCCGTCGCCCAGCTCCGCTCCTCGCTCCCACCACCTCAGTGCCCGGCTGGCGGGCGCCCGCTGCCCCCACAGGCTTCAGCAGCACCGTCGCTGCACGGGACACCCCTGGGGGAGGTGGAAAAACTAAAATGAAAGGAGAGAAGGGGGGAAGAGGCGCTGTCCCAGGCTCCTTCCAGGCGCTGGGCAGGCAGACGGCTCCGGCGGGCTGGCGGAGAGGGAAAGGAGCTGTGCCCCAGCCGGCAGCGCGGGCAGCGGGACGGGCAGGGCGCGCAGAGAAGGCAGCACAGACAGGGCAGGCAAGAAGGCAGGCAGGGCGGGCAGGGCGGGCAGGGCGGGCAGGGCGGGCAGGGCGGGCAGCGCAAGGCAGCGCAAGGCAGCGCAAGGCAGCGCAGACAGCGCAGGCAGCACGCGCCGCCCGGGGAGGGCTCTGATTCATCACCCCGTTCAGAGGAGAGGATGGGACGCCTCTAAACTCCCCTTTCTCCCTCCTCCCTTCCACCCTCGCCAAGCAAGCCCCCCCCTCCCCTCCCCCCCCCCCCCCCCCGCTCCCTCCCCTCCACCGCTCTTTCTCTCTCCCCAAGCAGTGAGGCTCGGACAGTGCTCGGCTCCAGCGCTTTATTTTAAGATGATCGGCCAAGGTCTTTGCAGATAGATTTTATCTGAAGTTAAATAGCAGGCGCTCGCCGCTCCCTCGCCAATAAGTCATTTTTAATAGAGACAAATCGCCCTGGACGCCCCGGAGCGCCGGTGCCGCCGCTCCTGCCCGCGCCCCCCGCCGAAGGCGAGCGGGCAGCCCGGGCAGCTCCCTCCTCCCGTAAGTGTCCTGCTCGGCGGAGCCGGAGCGCGGCCGTGTGCGGAGAAGGGGAGGCGAGGGGGGGGAGAGCCTGCCAGCCGCCCCGCCGCCCCGACAGTGCCTGCGCCGGATGCCCAGCGGCCGCGGGACACCTCGGTGCGGAGCGCGGCGAGGAGATGCGCAGGGTCGGCGGGCTGCACCGCGGCGCTCAGCCCCTCTAGGCTCGCCCATGGAGCGCCCCGCGGAGCCCCGGCCGCCGTCGGACCCCCCACGCCGTACGTATCCCCGCCGCGGCCCCCCCGCGGCGGCGGGGCTGTCCGCGGGGCGCGGGGGCGGAGGAGGGCTGGGGGCCGGGGATGGGGGTCCGCGCCCGTCGGGGCGCCCCCGGGGCGCGGTCCCGGCCCGGAGCAAGGCACGGGGAGCCTTAGGAGCGGCGGAGGGAGGTGGGCGCCTGTGGGGGTAAGGCAGAGCCTGCTCGGGCGTCCCGGAGCCTCGGCTTGAAGCGCCCAGGAGCATCCGATCGCGGCGTCTCCTCCTGACCCTTCTCTCCGCGCCAGCGCCGCTCCGCTCCCCAGCGCGCTGCCGGGGCTCCGCGGCCACCGACTGCCGGGCGGCTGCCGCCCGGTCCCCGCCGAGGTCGCGCAGGCAGGCGGGCGGGCAGGGCGGGCAGGGCAGGGCTGGCGGTGGCACCCCCGGGCCGTCCCAGCCCACACCACGGGGCTCTCACGCCCAGTAAAAGGACTGAACGCCGGGGAGCGCTGCCTACAGGCGCTCTGCAGCCAGCCCGGACCGTGCGATCACTTTGCTCTGACGCTGGATTAACTCGATTTTAATCGTTTTTTTTTTTTTTGTTTCCCCACCCCCATCCACACACCCCATCTCCTCCTTCTCTCCCCCCCCCCCCCCCCTTCCCTACACACCTCTTCCCCCCTTGTCTCAAGCCTAACCTTGTCTTGTGGTCATGGGGTCTATAATTTCATTTTGTCTAGGCTGGTGAGAGCTCTGCTGGTTCTGTAAAGTGGATGTCAGGTGGATCTATGTTCTGGAAGGAACAAAGAGGCAGCGAAGGCAGCGCGGGGGAAGTTTGAGCGGCGAGGATGCAGGCTGTGTACTGGTACGCGGTCCTTCTGCTGCAGCCCACCCTTTACCTGGTGAGTGCCCCCGACCCCTCGCACGGCTCGGGGAGGGGGGAGCTCGGCGGGGAGGAGGGCACCAGCCTGGCGGAGAATGAACAAACTCACGGCAACTACCGGCGCCCCGCAGCCAGCCCTGCCCCGTCCTCCCGGGGTCGGGCCGGGGTCGGGCCGGGGAGACGCGGGGTTCGGCCGGGAGCTCTCGGCGGGGCGCGGCGCGGGCGGGGTGGGGGTGGGGGTGCAAGGAGGACACCCGTAACTTCTCCGCGGGGAAGGGGCGCGCCACCGGGAGAGGGGAAGGTCGGGGGCTCCCGGGCCGGGTCCCCCGGTGCCACCTCCCGGGCCGGGTCCCCCGGTACCTGCGGGGCCACCGGCGCGCCGCCGCCCAGGCTGTGGGATAGAGGCAACTTCTTGCCTTCTTGCTCCCTCCTGAGGGTGGGAGCCCCTCCTGAAGGGACACCCCCCTCCACTGTGCCACTACGGGCGGCGCAGCACAGGCGTGCAGGCACTCGGTGACGAGCACAGCTGGTATTTTCCGGGTGAAGTGTCATTGACTTTCGTTGCAAATCTCCTTTAAGATTACCGGAGGAACACGAGTAAACAGCGGCGTTATCTCCTTTAACACACACACACACTTTATTCCCTCTACAACCGCAAAGAACAAAAACAAGGCAAGGCTGCTCCTTTGCAGCCCGTACCCTCGGTCGCCTGCGACGCGTTAAGCAGGCAAACGCCTGGCGGGAGCTCGACCCCGTGGCGGCGGGGGAGGGAAAAGCCTTTTTTTCCAGGAGGGCGGCCTAGAGGAGCCCGGCACGGGGGGAAACGACGGCCCGGTTGCGGCTCCGGCTCCGGCTCCGGCTCCGGCTCCGGCTCCGGCTCCGGCTCCGGCTCCGGCTCCGGCTCCGGCTCCGCGGGCGCCGCCGCTCCCTGCGCTGTGGCGGCCGTGCCGCCTGGGGGCGCTGCGGGGCAGCGCGGCGGAGCGCGGGGCAGCCAATCCCGAGCGGGCCCGGCCGGGGGGGGGTGAGCGGAGGGGGGGGCGGCGGGGGGGGGGCCGACCGGGCGGCGCGCTCCTCCCGCGGCCGCTCAGCTCCCAGCGCACCCGCGCAGCGCCGGGGTGGGGGGGTCCCGCCCGGCCCGGCCGACGGGGCTCCCGGCTGGGGGCCCCTGCCCTCGCCGGGCGGTGCCACGTCTGCGGCGGGCGTCTCTTCTCCCCGCGAGTTTTATAGCCGGAGGTGGGGAGGGTGGGTGGGATGGGGGGGGGGGGGAGCGGGGAGAAAAAGTGCGTGGCAAATAATCTATCAAAAAGCCGGAGCGGGATCGATACGTCGTGTTAAATTTTAAATGTGTTTGCTGGCAGTTAAACTGCTCTCGACTCATTACAACAACAGTGCTGGATTTATTCTAATGCGCTGCAGTCTGAACAACAAGCGCATTAATTCTCCTTTAATTGTAAACTGGGAGCATTTGAAAACCATTCAGTGTGCAAATTATGCTGATTCAATTACCGTTTAGTTACAGACTTCATTACCTGAATGCTTGCGCTTTTTTTTTTTTTTTTTTTTTTTATTCCGAAGGCTTGTCATTGCAGAGTAAATTCCAGTCATCCTCGAAACAATGCGAAATATGATACGAAGAAAAAAAAAAAAAAAAGAATCGGGAATAAAAGACAAGCTAGGGGGAGGGGACGCCCTCTTCGGCTGGGCTGTGCGTTCTGCCAAAACACTCGGGGGCGATCCAAAGGATTTCCCTGTCTAACCCGATTCTTCTTTCAGAGTCGATACTTCCACGTTTATGCCAATCTTTCCCTATTCTCTGTATTTCGAGAGTGACTCTGAAAGTTTTTATTAGGCCACTGCCTGGCAATAAACTGTTTATTAGCATCGAAGAATGAAATTTTGATTAAAGCGGTGCCACAAACCAGCAAGGTGCAGCACTTCGCTGTGCCCACCCGTGTCTACGCCTCGCTCTGGGTGGATGAGAAGCAGTTTCAATTTGGAATTAGATTTTGAGTACCCAACCTGTGAGGAAGGGTAAATGAAATGGGGGCAAACCCAGCTTCCTATCGAGTTTGTTAAAAAATTCTTTTACTTTGAGAGGGGTTAATAATACAGGGGAGAGGGAAAATAGCATGTTTCCCCTCCTCCTGAACCAGGCGGTGTTGAGTGATAGTGGAAGAGCCGCAGCGAAGCTGCCTCGAAGTTCCTCATTTACAGACAGTCGCTGGCTTGTAATTTCTCTTCACCCAGCAAACCACTGCTCTTTTCTTTTTTTTTTTTTTTTTTTTTTTTTTCTTCTTCCCACCTTTAATGAAATCTTCCTAATGAAATCTTCGGGAAAAAAAAAAAAAAAGTGCTTCTGCTTTTCTCCCCCTTTTTAATAGAGCCATGTGCCATCCAGCCTTATTGCCTGAAATTTATAGAGGTCACGGCCGACCAGAACGAGTAGGAATTTTGCTGGGGTAGAGATGGTTTATTGATAAGAACATTAGTTAGCCTCGGTGAGACACGCATTTTCTCCTTGTTTCGAGCTGTGCAGTGTTTTGAAAACGTTATATTTGATTTGCGGTGGAACTGCATTTCCTTTGGCCTAAACGGATAACTTAGTATTTACTTGGTAGAATTAGGAGTTAATCTTTAAAGGCTTGCAGTTATTTTCTTTCTTTACATTAGAGAGCTGCCGAAAGTGTTCAAACAGCTACACTCGGTCTTATTTACCACGAGACTCCACTTCACCGCTGTTCTTTCAAAAGCACCTTAGTCCTATTCTAATGGATAATGTTTTCTTAACTAACAGCACTGTGCAGAGCTCAAAATCGCCATTAAGGAAACACGTAAATATTAAGAAAGAAGAACAACTCGGAGATCGTAGATTCTTTCAGGTTTGAGCTCTGTCTTTTTATAAGGACACCAGGTTTTTACACCATTCCCTTAATGGAAACTTTCTCGTTTAATTCCTGCCTAGTTACCGGTGAATTTCCAGTCTTATACCACAGGACAATAAAACGCCAGGCTGTTTCTTTTCATATATATGTATATATATATATATATATTTTTTTTTTTTTTTTCCCTGGGTGGGAGCAGCATGGTGTACAAGCGACTACAAAACGCGCGGGCTGCTGGCAGAGCCGGCAAAGATCCTAACTGGTTATTTCTCACCGGGACAGGTCCAGGATGGTCCCAAAGGAGGAGGCAGATCCTTTCCGTGCCGGCTGCTGAGGGCACGCGTGGGGCGGGAGGGGACCGGCGGGCTCCCGGCGGCGGCGGGCGCTCGCCCCGTCCTGCCGCTCCCCGCCCGGACCCCGCTCACCCCTCGGGCAAGCCCAGGGCGCCGGGCGGCACAATGCCTTCCAGATTGCAGGATTTTAACACCCCCCCCTCCCCTCCATCCCCCTCCCTCCGTGTTCACAGGCTTTGCCTTTGCATGTTCCAGGGGGAACTTCCCTCCGGGCACAAGCAAGGAATGAGAACATGCCCCTCTTCCGCTGGGATCGCCCCGGTTTGGAGAGACTTCAGCTCACTACTTAGGTACTTCTTTCCCGGAGTAGCGGGTACGGACTTAAAACCAGTCGCAGTTTTGCGTTGCATGCTGCTAGGGTAAGGAGCCCTCCTCCGTCAGCCCCTTCCCTTCCCTCCCTCCCCTCCCCCCCGCCCCGGCTTGTCGTCCTTTCCCAGCAAAGTGTTTCTTCACCGGTGGCTTTGTAAATTAGGATATACAGCAGAGCTGACTGGCAGAGCCAGTTTTAACTCCGTGCAGAATTCAAGCAGCGCAAGAGCAAATGGAGGGGGGGTGATTTTTCACCCCCCGACGAGGGATGCGAGCAGGGTGTTTCGCGGGGGGAGCTTTGTCTGGCGAGTGTCCACAACTGCGGGGGTCCCGGTGCCCCTGTTTTACAGGGCGATGGCATTTGGCAGAGAGTCGTGGAAACAGCCTGCTAACCTCCTCCCCGTGCTGACCGGGGATTTTAAGGTCTGTTCCACACCGTCACGGCAGTTTGGAGGCCTTCTGACAGCTGAGCGGAGCTTTCCTGAAAAAATGTTTTGAATAATAGAGGTTTAAAATTGTCCTCAGCGGTACCAAGTGGTACGGTATTTGCTGAGGGAGTAAACAGCGGGTTAGTGGCTCCAGAGTTTGTGTACATTTAATTTCTCTCTGTGTCGCACTGTTTGCGGTCATTTCACCCCGGTTAATGAAAGCTATGGAGAACGTGAAGAGATATGACGTGCCGGCGAAGATAAGTTGATTTTTTTTTCATTCTTTCTTTTTTTTCTAAAGATAGTTGCTGACTGTGTCCTACTTTGTCGTGGGAGGAAAAAAACAAAACAAAACAAAACAAACCAAACAAAAACCAAACCCCAAACCTCTAGAGGCAGCGAAGATAAAAGAAACAAAAAACAAAAGAGACAGAAGGCATTGTCCTGTCATAATCACCACCCACCGTATTTCCTCCGAGGCATTTGGTGCTGAAAGCATTCGGGTATTGCTTTCCCCCCCCCCAAATAAGCGATTTCTTGCAATTTTCAATTTGACGTCGAAGGCGGCGAGGGGGGGGGGGGAGCGCTTGACGCGGAGGGAGAGAAGTGGCTTTTTGTGTGAGAGAGTTTACGTAGCCTTGAGACGACCCCGCTCCCTCTTTCTAAAGGAGTTTGAGAGACGCTTTCGCGGTGGTGTAGGGGCAGTAATTCCCTTTCGGAAGGTAAGGCACGGGAAGAGCAACCGAACTTGCATCTGGTGTAAGCGAAACAAACTTATCTGCGCTCTAGGCGTTTTTTTTTTTGTTGGTGTTTTTTTTTTTTTTTTTTTTTTTTTTTTGTTTAGCGGAGGATGGTGCATTCTTTTCCGGGCTTCCTTCTTCCTTCCTTCCTAACCACCAGGGACCTGTTTTAGGAGTTTAAGAAGGGGTTTCCTCGCACTGAAATATCTTTTCCCCGGTGCTTAATACACACTATTTTAATTTCTTAAATCGCTGGAGAAAGCACTCTGGAACAGATTTCACCTTTTAGGGATGCACCTGAATATAA